GTCTTCAAACTTGGCCCTTTTATGACTTGTGGACTTCAAATCCCAGAATTCATCAGCCTGGGAGTTGAAGTCCACAAGTCATAAAAGGGCCAAGTTTGAAGACCGCTGCCATAGACACTTAGTGTCAACGCTGCTAACATTGGATGTTCTTGCTTTGACAAAATATGCAGAGCTGTGTGGTATTTTTAGAGTTAACTTAGATGATGCTGGGAGGGGAGGAGAAAGAATGTGTGTGGGGATTAGCTAAAATAAGAATCCCCGCTACAGAAACGGAAGAGAACCTTTGGTCTTCAAACTGATTGGAGAACGTGATTTATGACAGCAAATTAAGGGAGGGAAATAGGCCATTAAAATATGTGCTCAGGGGAGGGGAATTCAGATCTTGGCATCCTTCCATGCCATGCTGACACTTTGTTACACGATTAAAGACTTTTTAGGATAAACAATGCCTGGAAGTTCTTTGAAGTGTTTCATTAGTCGGAATCATGACACTTAGGATGTGTGGACTTCAAATCCCAGAATTCCTCAGCCAGCTGGCTGGGGAATTCTGAGAGTTGAAGCCCATTCATCTTAAAGTTGTTGAGGTGGAGAAACACTGCTATATAGACTCAGTTGCCTTTTGAAAAAGCACCTTTGGGACAACCATGACCTGGATGACTGAGAACCTCCATAGACATCAGAAAGCTGCTGTTGGGTGACCCACCATTGCTTCTAAGGGAAATGCCACTTCAGTAACAGGATAGGGGCCTCATGGACAAGATCCCTGATCTCTGCCCTAACCGATCCTCTTCCAAACTGGGTCATGATGTCAGCAATCTAGTGTTACTAGCAGACCGTGAGAGTGTATTCTGCAAACTAATGTCACAAATCAGTACTCTCAAGTTGAGAAACTTTTCACCATCTATCGGGTGACTATGGTTATATTTAGATTTTAAGTAACATCTTAAACCAATTCTGCCCTATGTTCTACTTCCTCAAAAGACGTGTTTTCCTAATTTTATCTCGGGGCCCACATCTGCAACCCTCTCTTGAAGTCACCGAGGAGTTATATATACAAATGTATATTTCTTCATTTCAGTAGAAGCTGGCTAGCACACACCTCAAACCTCATAACACTTTGTTTCCAAAGAAGAATCAAAGAGAAGGGGTTTTGAGATCATCTAGCCCAGGGTTAGGCAACCTTGGCTCTTTTATGACTCGTGGACTTCAACTCCCAGAATTCCTGAGCCAGGAATTCTGGGAGTTGAAGTCCACGAGTCATAAAAGAGCCAAGGTTGCCTAACCCTGAATTCTAGCCCAAGTGCCTACTCAGTGCAGGATCTGCTACAGAATATATAGATTTATTCTCCCGTTGATAGATGTGACCACCCAATTGCAAGATTGACTCTGGGCAACTTGCAATTTAAAGAAACACAAAAACAAGGAATTCAAAATAAAATATTGTCTAGAATAATATAACAAACCTTTGGAAAATACAAAACAATAGGTTAATGGGGTAACAGAAGTAACCATAATTGAACCAGCCCAGACCAAGCAACACATATTTCATTCAAGGCTCTTACATTCTATATAGCAGTGTTTCTCGATCTCAGCAATCTTAGGATATGTGTCCCAAAGATGCTTTTTTCACGAGGCAACTGGACTTTCTTGTTTTTCTTTGAAGACGTTTTGCTTCTCATCCAAGAAGCTTCTTGGTGTGAAGCTAAAGAAGCTTCTTGGATGAGAAGCGAAACGTCTTCAAAGAAAAACAAGGAGGTCCAATTGCCTCGTGAAAAAGCATCTTTGGGATAACTATGACCTGGATGACTGAGAACCCTCCATAGACCAGGGCTCTTCAAACTTGGCCCTTTTATGACTTGTGGACTTCAACTCCCAGAATTCATCAGCCTGGGAGTTGAAGTCCACAAGTCATAAAAGGGCCAAATTTGAAGATCCCTTCCCCGGATACTTAGGATGTGTGGACTTCAGATCCCAGAATTCCTCAGCCAGCTGGCTGGGGAATTCTGAGAGTTGAAGCCCATTCATCTTAAAGTTGTTGAGGGGGAGAAACACTGCTATATAGACTCATCTCACGATTTGGCCCAATGTTTGGGGGAAGAGCCAGGTTTAATTTAGAGCCTTGTGGGAGGACAGAAAGATCAGGGCCATCAGAACCTCAGGGGAATGATCTTCCAGGGCAGGTGCATCAACAGGGAAGGATCTTAAGGCAGAATCTGCCAGAGCAGTGTTTCTCAACCTTGGCAGCTTTAAGATGTGTGGACGTCAACTCCCAGAATTCCCCAGCCAGCACAGCTGGCTGGGGAATTCTGGGAATTGAAGTCCACACATCTTAAAGCTGCCAAGGTTGAAAAACACTGTGCCAGAGCATTTGTGCAGATGATGTTTCACCCTCTGCTTGAAGCCTCCAACAAAGCAGCAACAAAACGTGTACCAATAGAAGACAATATGTGT